TGTAACCCTTCCCCAGGGTCATGGGGTTTGTTCCTATTTGTGGAATAAAACATAACATAACATAACATAACATAATCTGCAATGTCGTCAGCTATAGCATCATTTAATAATTTTCAATTTTTGCCAAATGTACATGGGTGTGGGTGTATGGTGTTTTGGGTGAGAATTATTTTTGTTTATTATTATTTATTTCCTTTTTGAGGGGTTGGCGTGGTTATCTTGAAAAGCAAATATCTCTAAGAGTGGAGAGGAAATGTATTGAAGGTTTTACTTAGCAGGCTCACCCCATCCACCCCCCCCCCTCAACCCAACCCACCCACCGCGTACCCTCTTTACCCCCCCCCCCCCCCCCACCACCACCATTCCAGTTAGGGTTACGTTTCATTATTACCCTCCGTCAGGGTTACGATCCATTAGGGCTGCCCTCCGTTAGGGTTACGATCCGTTAGGGTTGTCCTCCGTTAGGGTTACGATCCGTTAGGGTTACGATCCGTTAGTGTTGCCCTCCGTTAGGTTTATAACCTCCGTTAGTGTTAAAGTTGGCCTGAGCTAGGGTTATGTTGTTGTCGTTGTTGTCGTTGTTGTCGTTGTTATCGTTGTCGTCGTTGTCGTCGTTGTCGTCGTTGTCGTCGTTGTCGTCGTTGTCGTCGTTGTCGTCGTTGTCGTCGTTGTCGTCGTTGTTAAAATATAACATCAATCGCTTTCTCAACATCAGCATACACCTGGGGCTTCATGTACTTCGTTTTCTTCCCATTTGTTGATTGAGCTAAGTCGGTAGCATGAAATGGTATTGCTGGTTAGTGCCAGGGTATCTGAAAATGGCAATGAACTCTCCAGGAGAAATTTAGAAATAAAAAAGAGAGATTCGCGGTTGTTTCAGCTGAATAATAATACAAAAAGGTGATCATGGAATGACTTTTTTTATTGTTGTTTGTGTAAAAAAAAAATAATGACAACATCATATATTATAACCTATGGTTCTCACATACATTTAAAGGGAATGTACATCATTGGGATTAGCTTTAATTTTCAGAAATGAACTACTTGAAGGGTTAGTATAAAATATCAAATTATTGTTACACTGACATGTTTGAAGTTTTGTGTTGGAAAATGCTGGGAAAAACTAATAAAGAAACAGAAATGTTCGAGTAGTCTGGTTCCCCGACTCCACTGAAGATGAAATGGATTAATTTATAGATGCCGGAAAATTTTACGATAAGGGAATTAGTCTAGCTGGCCTGCACCCATTCAGAACATGCAACCAATAGCAAACAAAATTTGGACTGAAAAAATGGTACATTTGGAGCAGTAGTTGATTGGCCGACCACCCTTGGAAATGTATACAAAATTACCATTTTCCTGAAAATAACTTCACACCAGGTGCCATAACTTTACAGGATGCTTTAGACTGTCATTTACCAACATCCCGGTGTGTATTTCGTAAAAACCTGTAATTTTATTTTTCGATGTTTGCAAATGTTGTATTTTCCCTTTAAATAGTACATCAAAATTGATGTTGTGTACTTCCTAAAGATTGTAATAACTAGATTTGCAATATTGTGATAAAAAAAATGGAAGTGAAAAAAGATTACCGAAACGTTTTTGTTCACAACTGACAGCCGCGATGACATCAGCCTTTCCGTTGTATTCAGTAAGGTAGAAGTTGTTATGTGAGGACTTTCAGTTTAATTGTAAGAAAGGAAGTCTACGCCACGCCCTGGACCTTCTGTGCTGCATTTAATACCAGTATTTTTACCCAGTTTACCAGTTGGTCTAAGTTTAACTTACCGGCTTTCTTCTTTCTTTCAGCTTTCTTATTTTGTCCGTTGAAATGGCCGGCAGAGGTTGTGGGTCCACTGTACTAATTCAAGCCCCATTGAAAACAGTGTAAAATCAACAAAGTTCAGGGCCAAGTAACATGCAAGCCAACATCACTGGGGTTTCTGAAACAAAAATTAAATTATTGTCTTGTCTTTCATCTTTTCATTTCTTTTCAATTTGAGGTACATTAACCAATTACATTTTTAAATATTCACACCCAAATAAAATCACCTCCCAAAAAGTGATAGTTCCCGAGCCTGCATGTAGCCATTTTACAAATGGCATCCTTCCACTTTCACAGGCAAATAGGACCCATTTTTCATCCGTGATTTTATCAAGCCTGCCCTCATATGGAAGCCCCAAAACCAGGGAGTTGATCCTTGGGTATATTTAAACAATTCCCCCGTTTTTAAAGCCAAACGGTCACCGTTTTCAAAAGAAATTGTGGGGGCACTTTTTATGCTAATCAGCTGGCGTAGAAATTCTCGCTTGAATTAGTTCAGTGCACCCTATATTGTTTGTTTTGTTTGGATTCTCACTGCTGAGTAATTCCGCCCTCTATTGGTTACAAATTGCAAGATTTGGGTGACCTCAGTTGTATTGCCAACTGTACTTTTATAAAGGATTATGCGATTATCGTCCAGTCGTCGACCGCCCTCTATTGTCGACAAAATCTTTATCGGAGAGGGAAGAGAGATGTGCCTACAGCTTATAAGCTTTATATTTGTGTGTCCCCCCCCCCCTTTTTAATTCATTTGCCTCTTAAAATAATCAAAAAGTGTGGGGGGAGGTGGCTTGTACCATACTTTCAATGGGGGCGGACGATTATAAACACTGTATCACAAAATAATGTTCATATACCCCGAACCACGCTGGCTTTGTTCTATTTCGTATTTCGTGCAAAGGCGGACATTAGTACTAAGAAAAAATATATATTTTTGGTGTCGGAGCAGGGGGGGTTCACATTTTTTTCATGAATTTCTATGGGTTTTTTTGACAGAGCCGGGGGGGTCGAACACCCCCCCCCCCTGGATCCGCGCCTAGGAAAGTGAATATACGAGAAACATCTATCGAAACTTTCGGCCTACTTATCGTGAATATCGTGAAGGGACTAAACATCAGAAAGCATTTCTTCTCAATCACGATCATCAATGAGTGGAACATTTTTCCTGCTAAAGTTGTGAAGGCTAGATCAACTAACCTAGTCAAGAACAAGGATGTAGGGTCAAAAAAGCTTGAGCCTATTACTCATCAACCTCAGTGTACGTGTGTAAGTGTGTATTGTTCAAAGCAACTTCTATAGATGGAGGAGCCATATATTTAAAAGATGCTTGAAACGAGTTGAGTCTTTGAGCATACTAAACTCTCTTTTTTATGAGGTAAACAAATATATAAAAAAATTGACATTATGTCCAGAAACAGAACTGTCCCCCTTGCTTTAATTGTGTTAAGCACCGCCAGCAGGGATGGATTTGAAGACGTATAAGACCCCGTTCCCACTTGATCCACCAATTGGGGGATCTGATCCACCTTTTGCCAAATTGCCGGATCAGATCCCCCAATTGGTGGATCAGATCCGGCAATTGTGTGTAGTGGGAACGCTAACCGTTATAAGGTGGATCAGGATCAGATCCACCTTTTCTGATCCACCTCTGGACCAGGATACAGATCCCCCAATTGGTGGATCAGATCCGGCAATTGCCGGATCACGATCAGATGGGAACGCAAAAGGTGGATCTGATCCGGCAATTTGACCTGTTAACATCCGCCCGGTGCACGAGTGGCGCGAAAATGTTGCGGTCTCATGAACGAAGAAACACGTTTTCAGGCGTGTAGCTCATGTGAACATTTCCAGCGTATACAACATGCACAATAAACAACCGCTGAACTACGGGCTAGCACCGCGCATGCAAAAGCGCACGTGGTATCCTAAACTACACTATATAGGCCTTATTTTTGTTGCGTGTTCGTCCATTACTAAACCTTTTTCATTCCTGAAATTTACTTATTTTTCCATCCATAAATGACTCTGAGTCCGCACTCACCAAAAGACTTCACTTTGGCACAGAATCATGGAAAAGCTTACGAGTATGCGATGAGAATAGTGCCGATAACGCGGTACGTACGGAGGTGACAAATCTGAAGTATTGATTATAGAAAATTGGAAATTGATGTCGTAGTACATCTTGTGACCGTTTCTAACCAATGAGAATCTTCAGAACCAGGGAATCCCTTATCGATGCATTGGTTTCTGCCGTGATGTCACACAATGAGCGGCTCTGTTGGATTTCACCTGTTAATTTATGCACGCACGCATCCTCTACGGATCCGTGATTTATGTTGGTGAATTCGCGTAATTTTTGTCGGTGAATTCTGATAGTGCTATTTGAAAACTGACCCATCCTGGCCTAGCATGCAACCATGCAACAATGGCACTCCCACAGAGCGCGCGTAATTCCGAACTCAGTGACCTTTCGGACCCAACATTTCGTACGAAAAGGTGGATCAAGCATAAGTGGAAACGCGACTTGCGGTTTCCTTGCGGTAAGATAACGATCACACCAAAATGCTGGATCTTGATCCACCTTTTCCCAATTCAAGTGGGAACGCGGTGTAAGGCACCTAGAAGGGTCGTAACGAATTCAGAAATCAGAATTATATACCAGGGGCAGAACCATGTAAACAATGAAAAACAAGCAGAAGTAAGTTGAAATGGAGAGAATGCAACACTGGAGGTATGTGACCTTTACGACTTGCTGTTAATGCGGGCTGCTGTGTTCTGTAGTTTTTGTAATCGTGAAAGTTGTGTTTGGGGGTTTGGTGTTAAGTGGGTTGTAGAAGTCTAATAGAACTTGATGATGTAAGGACGTGGCATGAACACTAATTTCAGTGATTGATTAATGTGTAGGCTACTCTCCAAAAAGTTTCGCGAGTGGTCCCGTATAGATTTACAAATATCAGAAACACGGTTATGTACAGTACATATGAAAATGAACAGCGCCCCTAGCGTCAGATGCGGTCAAGCGTCTGACCCCCCCCCCCTTGCACTTTGTTGAATATACCCGTGAGTATTGGAAACACTGACTGCTAGGCCCCTTCTCAGTTTAGAAGAAATACAAGGGTAGACATTTTATTAAATTGAAACTCAAAAATGAAATTTCATTTCGGCAACAAAGCACTAACAATGCAAAACCCGTTACAAACTCTTTATTCAAAACCACCATTTTTTCAATCACGATTAAAATTCATCTTAACTTAATTTTAAGGACAGAGAAATCAGCTTTAAAACAAACGACACCACAAAATTCAAAACTTGGCGTGTTTTTATAATTATGGAATATTTTATCTCTTGATAACCCCGAAAGTTAACTCCTTAATAGCGTTGCCGTAAAATGTGTATGTCAGCATAACCCGAAACCCTTTTCATCAAATACAAGCACTAAAAAATATTCCAACACCTTTATAATCTTAATATATCTTTCTGTCAGGCCAACTATTTTTTTTCTACATTTCATCTTAACACGACATAAGCAACAACCAGTATTTCATAACTCAACCCACGTATTCCTCATACTTTTCGCCTTTCGTTTCTTTTTTTGTACGTGAAAATCCTTTAACTTTACTTACGACTAAAAACATTTCTAATTTTTTAACTGCTCAAAAACCGAAACCTAAACATTTTCATCACACAAAAACAAACAAATTTCAGCGTTTTCTTTTATCGAGAAAATTTCATTGTGAGGTGCAGAGGGAGCTTAATGTATGTAGAATAATTCGTAAATGACCATTAAAAATAAAATAAGTTTGAATTATTTTGTGATCAAACGGCACATATTTCCTTGAATTGGGTCCATTTTGCTCGTTGCTTAAGTTATCTCAGCTAATACTTTTGGCAGCTTTAACGTGACAAAACTGCATGCGTATAATTAAGCCCTCATTCCTGTATTGATACGCCAATAGCAAGGCCTAGTTGATTGCAAATATTCGCAATGTTTGTTTTCATAATAATTTTGAGGAAAATATCGAATGATTCCTTATTCTGCGGCATGTCTAGTTTGCCTAAACCGGACGGTCTAGCACCTTGACGTTGACCGTGGGTATGGTCTTGATGTTGGCCAGGTTGTTGCGGCGCCCGTCCACGAAGGTCTCAATGACACGGATTTTCTCCAAGTCAAACGGGTCCACGTCGTAAGGGTTGTCAGAGAGAATCACCAGGTCGGCCTTCTTGCCAGGCTTGATACTTCCTACCTTCTGGTCCAGGTGGAGCTGCCAGGCCGCGTTGACGGTGTAGGACTTGAGAACTTCGTGGATGGACACGCGGTACTCCGGGCCGTAAGGAGTGGTAGGGTCATCCCTGGTGCAACGGGTGATGGCTGTCTTCATGTTGGCGAAAGGGTTGGCGTCTCCGGGGAAGGTCGGATGATCCTGTGAAGATGAAGAATATGAATTTCCGATCATTGTTTCTACCGTTATATCTTGAAGTGACTCTTTAATATTGTATTTTAATCCCCAGAAAATCCGTTCCCCCAAGTTATGGCCAGCGGATCCTCCCCTCCATCCTTCTGATCTCCAAAATACAATTGCTGGTTTGAATTGAATTGTCTGACAGTGCTTTGTATGAATCAAGAACAAATATTATCAAATGTTGACATTTTGCGCTGATGCTCATGATGTTTTATGTTATTGGATTCAAAACGGCAGATACATTTAGTCCGGCAAGATACCTTCTTAAACATATCAGACTCGTCACTAAAACAAAAGAAGGCGTAGCGATCATATCAGTAAAAAGGTATCAGGGGTCTGTTCAAAGCCCTTTTGGGGGTAAATAAAGAGCCGCCATCTACCTGATGAATGGTCCAAGTAATGCCATTCTTGGTTGCCTCAGACAGCGGAGTCCAGCGGTTGACTCGCTCACCGAAGATGTCAGTCTTGTAGACCAAGGCGTAGAAGCGGAGATGGTCCACGAAGAAAGACAGTGCCAGATTGATCTTGCCAGCGCGTTCAATCTGGTCCACGGTCATCAGGCCAAGATGCTCCATGCGATGACGGTTGTTCTGATTCGGGAACTGGTTCAGGACCTAAAGGGAAAATGATAGCTGGATAGTGAGTGATTGAAATCGGTACCAGATTGATCTCTCTGTCCTTTTATCAACATTTTTTAAAAAGGGAGAGTCTCCTTGAATATGACAAACCGATAGAGTTTCGTAGTCTTCTGAAATGTCAGATTTCAGAACTGTAATTGGGAATGTGGTATTCAAGTCAATCACGGGTCAAGTCACAAGGCAATCGCAAGACAAAACACAAGGTGTGTCACCGGAAGGACATGGACAAAGTTGACAATGACAAAGGAATGTTTTTGTCACGCCCAGCTGATTTGCATAGCTTATCGCTTGACTTGCGAAGTCTTGTAAATAATTCACTTGCGAAAACCTGCGATGACTTGTGACTGACTTTTCAAAACTTCAATACAATTCTGCGGAGGAGTATTTACTTTAGTTTCACCACAAAGTATGGGTCTTTCCCTTTTATAGGAAATATCTTGATGTGCCAAATCATACTTCACTCACCTGCTCATACACCTTCAACACCTGTTCAGAGCTCCTCTCGCCGTGGCAGTGGATCGCCATCTGCTTCCCGTCCTGGTGATGTCTCTTGATGGTATCCAAGAGAGCATCGTCCTCCATGTTCAAGGTGCCGTAGCCAGGTGCCTTGGGGAACCCCAGGGTTTCAGTCAGCGGGGTGTACATGAAGGGTTCGCGGGTAGCGCATGTGCCGCAGTGCGGGGAGCCATCAGCAACCAACTTCAAGCCAGCTTCCCACAGACGGGAGCTGTAGTTGCCAACTCCCCCGTCGTAGTTTTTCACGGCGCTCCTGCCTTTCTTGGCTGGTGCGGGCTGAACGCGCCCCAGCTGGCTGCAGCATCTTACCTTCGGCGGAGGGGGAGCTGACTGGGGCTGATGCACCTCTTCGTCTGTCTGCGCATGGGTCATTTTGTACAGACCTGTCACATGATTTAGAAAAACTTTCCAATAAGTCAAAACTGTAATCTTGTCATCCATAAACATCGAAGCATTACGATAACCTCATGGCTTACAAATTATAGTGTCCTTGATTTAACGTGCCAACAGTAAGTAAGAAACATAAGTGAGTCAAAACAATTATTTCTGTCTATTACATAAACATTAAAGAGTGCCCGAGTTGATGAACCCTCGTATTGGGACCTTGGAATGTATGGAACCCGTTAAGGAATGGATATCTTAGTACAGGACAAGGTGCATGCGCGAATCGGTTCACGCCCGTATGGTATACGAAGTATACGCATGACAACCTTTCCCCGAATTTCTACAAACTGTGCGCAGCATCATGAGGGAACTCGGAACGGCAGCAACGGTGCTCAGATGACATTCTGTTTCATATGAATTATAATTATGTTCAATCCTCTACACTCTTGTTTACTGTTGAGGGGTATTAAAGCTGATTACTCACCCAGGCGGACAGGGAAGTCTGGAGCATCAGCACAAGTCTTGAGAATCGCATCCATCTCGGGAGAAGGCATGTAGGCCAGCTCAGTCACGGTGGTCAGCCCGGCTGAGGCGTAGGCTCTCCATTGATCATAGAAGCCCTGCATCATGAGCTCCTCGTCGGGAAGTGGGGCTCGACCCATGACCAGCATGATGGCCGGCTCCTCGAAGAGCTGCCCGGTGGGCCAGCCCTCGGCATCCAGGACCACGGTACCTCCAGATGGACTAGGGTAATTCTGGCCAATCTGTGGGGAAATGTGTACAGTTATAATACTTTGTAAAGATGGTACCGTTTTTGGCAAACTCTCCCTTGGTCCACGGGGCATTTTGGTCATAAGCCCCGTCTATCTTAGGTTTGTGTACTTTTCTCACACAGTTCATGTGACGAGTCTGACTGACTTACCGTGGTCACCTGATCACAAGTCGTGATCTAATTGGTCAATGCGCAATGTTTGATTGACAAGCACGGAAGGTCCATGTTGCTGGAAGGTTTCTAAACATGAACTATACGCAATTTCAGTTTTAGCTGCCATTTATAAACCTAGTCCCCTATTCAGATTGGAGTTCTGGAGTAGCGTGGAACTTAAAGTAGCCGCCCAATTAGATTTAAAAACGAAAGGAATAGAGTCCCATGTCAGCTAAACCCGAAATTTGGCTTTGTTTCAGAGTCAAAACTGACACTTTTCTGGCTCAAAATGAATATTCTGTCGGCAGACTGTTTCTGCTGGGTCATTTGATCCAGAAACATTGGCAAAAGTGTCGTGTTAACGAAGAAATGTGTCAATCCAGATAGAATTGTGGTTCATATCTAGCTGACCAGGGATTCTTGAGAGTATAAGATCGGTAATAGTCCAGGCAATATAAGGTTTGACCTCAAACAAATTGCAACAGAATTTTTTTCACCACAGTGCATTTCTATAAGGTCCCTAAAATGACATACTAAAAGTCCAAAAAAATCCAAGTGGTGGAAATATGCCTAATTTGCATAAATCCAAAATGGCCGCATATTTTAGGACTTTTACATTGATTTGGTCATATTTATCATACTAGATAGCTTCTTGAGGAACTTCAAACATTAATTTTAGTCCTTTTACATTGATTTCATCATTATTCTAGTCCTAGGTAAATTTCAAGATCCTTATGCTTCCCAAATTTGCCAAATGCGGTGTAATAATTTGCATAAATGCCATATATTAATTTGCATAAATTAAAGTTAAAATTATGGCTGTCATGTGTTGATATCACAATTAAATTTTTCCTAATAACTTCTAGTTCATTTATGTATACATAAATATCACACCACAGAGGTCTCTATATGGTCCCGAAAAGACTTAAAAAAGGAAAAATCCAAGTGGTGGAAATATGCTTAATTTGCATAAATTAAAAATAGCCACTAATTATATGATTTTCATATTGATTTGGCCATAACTCTCGTCCTACATTACTTTTTGGGGTACTTTAAACAACTTTATGTTTCCCAAATTTGCTAAATGCCGTATAATAATTTGCATAAATGCCGTATATTAATTTGCATAAATGCCGTATATTAATTTGCATAAATTAAAGTTAAAATTATGGCTGTCATGTGTGGACATGTCACAATTGAATTTTCACTAATAACTTCTAGTTCAGTTATGTATCACACCACAGAGCATCTCTATGTGGTCCCGAAAAAAAAAGTAAAAAAAAAATCCAAGTGCTGGAAATATGTCTAATTTGCATAAATTCAAAACGTCCACTAATTATTTGATTTTCATACTAATTTGGCCATAATTCTCCTACATTACTTTTTGGGGCACTTTAAACAATAATGTGATCATTTCGTTTTTGATGTTTGCAAATGCTGTATATTCCCTTTAAAGCACCCCAAAAGCAATGTAGGACGAGAATTATGGCAAAATCAATATAAAAATCATGTTTTTAAGTGGTCCTTGAATTTATGCAAATTAGGCATACTTCCACCACTTGGATTTTTTGGGACTATTTAGGGGCCTTATAGAAATGCAAATAACTGAACTTGGATTATCAGGGAAAATTGAATTGTGACATGTCCACACATGGCAGCCATAATTTTAACTTTAATTTATGCAAATTAATATATGGCATTTATGCAAATTAATATACGGCATATGAACAATTTGGGAAACTTGGGGATCTTGAAAGTTACCTAGGACTAGAAGAATGATGAAATCAATGTAAACGGACTAAAATTGTCGTATTAAGTACCTCAAAAAGCTATCGAGTATGAGAAATATGACCAAATCAATGTGAAATTCCTAAAATTTTCGGCCATTTTGGATTTATGCAAATTAGGCATATTTCCACCACTTTTCTTTTTTTTGGACTTTTAGTATGTCATTTTAGGGACCTTATAGAAATGCACTGTGGTGAAAAAAATTCTGTTGCAATTTGTTTGAGGTTCACTCAAAAAATGAAGTATCTTGCCTGGACTATAAGTGGAGGAGCAAATGGAGACAAAACATAGGTCACTTACAGGTGGCTCAGGCGCCGCAAGAGCGGGACTGTTGACCCAGGCCACGTGACCGCTCTGACCAACCACGACGATCGGAATGGTGGAGGAGAAGTTGGCATCCAGGAAGTCGGCGCTGAGAGTGGGCAGGTCGGAGATGAGCTCAGGGTCCCAGCCGAAGAAGATGGCCCAGTCCTTGTTGTTGGGATCTGCATCCAGCTCGCTGATTCTGTTCACCATGACGGTGTGAATGTCATCATAGCACCTGAAGTTTAGAAGGGGTAAAGTCAAATAGAATCCAGATTCCGGGTCAATCTGACATTGACTTTTTTTTAGTATAGTGCAAAATAGCTGAAAGTATGTGTCGCAAGACTACAATATCCAATTTTTTAAACGAGTCTGACATCTTGGTCTTTTGCCACAGTCTTTTGACTTTTCCTAGTCAATATGACCCGAAAGGCAGTCATCTGTGAGCTAGAAAAGTGTCATTTTGACCCCAAATAGAACGGTTTGCTGAAGTAGGTGTCGCAAGACTACAATATCCAATTTTGTAAACAATATGACATCATGGTCTTTTTGCCACAGCAGCGTGCCAAATGTCATAATGAAGCAGTAATGCGATGGCCTTCTCGATGATGACGTACGCTGGATCGTGCACATTCGCCATCCTTACCCCCCCCCCCACCACGCCCACAATAAAATCCTTTACCTGTAATTCAGGGCACTGATGTTGATGTACTGGCTCCGCATGAGGGCGCACTGTATAGCGTGCTGGTGGGGTTCGATGAAGCCCGGCATCAGGGTCTGTTGGTTCAGGAAGATGACCTGGGTGTCGGGTCCGGCGTGACGGAAGACCACATCGATGGAGCCCACGGCCAGGATGGTGTCCCCGCTGATCGCTACGGCCTCGGTCTTTGGCAGGGAGTCGGCACCGCGGGACCCCGGGTTGGCCTCGCTCCCCTCCATGGTGATGATGTCGCCCCCGTACAGGATGAGGTCGGCTGGCATGGCCGAGCCTTGTTTGTTGCAAAAAAAAATGATATCCAAACCATCATCTTAAAGACAGTGTTACAACGAACGTTGCTGGATTTTTCCTTCACGTTAATTCTTTCTGCACTCAGATTTGACCGGGAATTCCGGTCCTATTTAGCCTGACACTCTAGGCAGAGAAAACAAGTGTGTGTTTACAGTGACGCCTGAAAATTACCAAAGTAGGTAAGGAATTCTTTCATTTTGTAACTTTTTCATGTTTCTGTTGGTCCATTTTACTTATTTTGTTTACTTGTTTTGGGGTACCTTTGCAGGTAATGATTATACAACATTTGCTTTTGCGGTAATATTCAGAAATCGATGGATATGGGGTTAGTATTTCATGGCAAAATGTTGTTTCACTGACCTGTTAAAATTTTGTGTTTATAGATGACGTAAAATCCCCCCCCCCCCCCAAAAAAGTTCTCAACTTCTTGTAGTCTGGCTCCCTGACCCTACTTGAGACGAAACGGAGCAGTTTATAGACGTTTGGGAATTGTCTAGTCAGGGAACCAGATTAGCTGGCTTGCACCAGTTCACGGATGTGTAAGCGATTGCAAACAAAATGTGGACTAAATAAATTGGGGGCAATATTCGAAAAATGACGGGTTTTTTTCCTTACGATGGTCGACAGCACACCAGGTGCCATGATTTTACAGGATGCTTGAGACTATTATTCACTTACAGTCTAGCAGGGTATTTCATCATGATTTGGTAGTTTTGTTTTTTGATGTTTGCAAATGTTGTATATTGCTTTTAACAGTATGATGTTTTATTAACCTGATTTATTGTTTAGGCCTAACCAATGACACACAAAACCGTCGCATAGGGAAGACTTTTTATTTTCAAAATAAAGTTAATTTTAAATGTTTGGCCAAATGTGGCAATAAAACATTTTTAGGTTGGTAAAATGGCCTTAAAAATCAGCTAGGTTGGGTTTTATACAATAGAGCAGGTTTAAGGATGATTTAGAGTACCGTGTTGGTTCAGGGACCGTTTTTCTAACAATAAATTATTGACAAATTCTGATTTGACCTGCGCCGCTGGCTTACAATTCAATGTTTATGTCAACATTATGCCAAGCCCCTTAGTTAAATAAACCAACTTGAACTACAACCACTAAAAACTGGAACACATACGTGTGTGCCTTTGGGGGTTGCTGAGCTCTGCCAATTATTTGTCTCACTTGTGTGTGCATTTAAAGTGGATGATTTACAGGGACTTAAATCGTGGAGATTTGGAGTACGGTCTTTGTGACTCTGCGGGTACACGGCTCTGAGAAAAGTTTACTCTTGTTGATGGACATAAAAGGTTGACCGAAACGTCGAATTGATACCTCTGGTTCTTATCTTAACGGAATAGGATCATTGTGTATTTATCCCAAAAGTAACCTACCTAATTATTATCAAAACGTTTACTTGCATTGAAGATCGTCCTGGTACTAAACAACTCGTGAAATTAGAAGAAATGTAGAAATGTGGGTGATTTCCAACGATCAGTCATCGTGTTTATTGATCGAAGGGTTGTGCATGGTTTTCACTGTTTTCTTGCAAAGTGTAATATCCACTGAGCTAAAACTTAAGCAGGGTAGGTTTTGAACATTCTTCTTTGGATTCCCAGTGGTGTTATTAGTGGAAACGATTAATATACGTGAAAAGCAAATGATCCTATATATGCCTTTAAATCGCTCCTGTTGGTTTTACTTCACTTGGCCGATCCGCAAACCTCTTCCAAGTTGCACTCAATTCGCATGTAACATTCCATGTTGCATAGGCTAGATGGCTCATTGCGCTCAATGGTTGACGTAGCGGTTCTTTCCTCGCCTTCCACCGCGCGCTGTGACCCGGGCTCGAATCCCGCCTGGGCCAGTATGTGGCTTGGGTTCTCAGTCCCTACCTGATTCCGTGGGTTTTCCCCAGAATATATTCTGGGTTTTCCTCCCACCTCTAAAACTGTAATTTCTTCTCATTGTCTTCTCTCTAAGTTGGTGTGATGTTTCCCCTGGGATGCTTTAATAAACTCATATACAGATACAATGTATATAACTCATGAAAAAAAGTTCCGAAGAACTAGTAAGGAAACCCCTTGTGATTGGCTACCAATGCTTTAACGTCACATCGACAGGTGCCTACCTTTGGACATCCTGGATTTCGCTGTGAGCTGAGCTCTCTGCATGGTGACAGCGTTCTCTGGCAAAGTTTAGACAACAAACGACGCAAACAGACGGTGGGCCGTGTATGGAGGGTTTGTAGCAAGCGGCTCGCGACCAAGTTTCAACGGAGAAACCACAGTTGCAAGTGAGCTGTGCTTGAAGGGTAGCCCCGGGTTTTAAGCTCTCGCATCTGGCCCATGGGTGGGGCAAAAGGGTACCGCAGTGGCGCCTAAACCGGCGCTTCTTGCCATTACAATTATGAAACAAACACCCATAGGAAAGGATTTATCACATTCGTACCTATGTGACTTATTTAATTTTCCAAATCTGGCAATATTTCATCGTGATATTTTTTCACTTAAAATGTTAATGTGCCAATGATATACATCATGTTATTTTACTAACAAACCCTTTTCGAACATTCTTTGTATTTGTTCCACCTTATTTTGAACAAGGGGGTAACAGCAAAAAGAGGATTAGGCCTGCCAGTATTTTGGCGGTGGTTGGGCCCAATAAAGCGCCCAATGCTTACGACGTACCTGGACAAAACAAATCGCCAGATTTATTACAATGTCCTGGGGATTTTTTTTTTCAATTTTAAGTTTAGTTTACAAAAGCTGTTTTACGCAACAGCACTTGCCGGTGATCCTGTTATTATATGCCCCTGTGCACTTGGTACAGCATGTGTCAATAAAAACGCAGGATTCAAAGCGATTTTTTCTGATAAAATTATGCTACTGGTGTGCCAAATTTGATAAGGATTTGATTGTCCATAATTTCATCTTTGACAAGATTTTTGTTTGGTGGAATTTGGACTTTTGGCTTAAAAGTTATGACAAGTTTTGTGAAGCCCTTCTGAAGCGGGTTGGTCTGCGATTCAATGACGTACGACGTACGACGTACCTGGACAAAACAAATCGCCAGATTCATTACAATGTCCATGGGATTTTTTTCAATTTTAAGTTTAGTTTACAAAAGCTGTTTTAACGCAACAGCACTTGCCGGTGATCCTGTTATTATATGCCCCTGTGCACTTGGTAGTACGGTGTTCCCTAAAGAGCGAATCTAGGTGCACAATTTACCGTCGTTACCATCCGCCATCGTGCGATTTCCACGTCAATAAAAGGACTCCATAGCACTTCACAGGAAATCGGTTAGACACCCACAAACATCCATATATATATATGATTGATCCAACAGTGATCAATAGTCTGCATCAAGTGTGTATCATAATTTATGACAGACGCGACAGTGTTGTCATGATTTTCTTTACCATTTGTTCCCACTTCACATGCATGGTTGACTTTTGAAATCGAATCCCGATTGTGGTCTTTCAGCTGACCTCCTTTTTTGAAGCTATCAGCTTTCCTTGCCCTTCGTTTCTTTTTCTTTAATCCAAACAAAAAATTTGGTAAATCAACGCTCCATGCATGACCAAATAAAACTCGGGAAATTTCAAGGGAAAAGAACCGTCAAACCAGTTAAACAAGAACATGAAATAAATCTTCGCATTTAAACGTGTTGTTGTGCGAATATCCATGCCTCGATATATATGAACTATAATAACCCAAGAAACCATGCACTTAGACGCACCTATTGCCTTGCTTGAATTCTAGATGCATGCTCTGTGGTGCGATCTGAGGCTATTTCTGACTACTTTGTCCAATCTTTTAGAGGAAAACGACGCTGGTGTACGCAGTGCCTGCCTTTATTGCGACGCCACTGTAAAAATAAGATGGTTTCGTTTGGGAGGGGGGCATGGCCCCGTTGCCCCCCCCCCCATCCGCCCTTGTTGCACAAGACATTGCGTGCGAAAGACGAGTGAGGCCAACCTCGTCCCCAGTGCTTACTTTATTTCCAACCGCGTTTCCAATAGTAAACCCTGGATAGGAAACTTTCTTCCTGTAACCTGATTGGATACCGCAATTGGCTAGTAATGGATTTTTATCGTGTACTTGGTGCTATATATTCACAACGTGCAGTACGTGTTTTCGCGATCATTCGTCCACGCCTTCTCGAAAATACTAATTTCCTTTCCCAATTTGCTCATATTAATATGAAATATGATACTGCATGTTGTCTTGATAAGATCGTAACAGTTTGATTTCAAAAATCGTGTTTTCGTAACTCACGCCGTGCTCGCGCTGCTACGAATTGACTCTGTTTTTACCCCAGACACCGCATACAAAAACAAACGCTAATGTGTAACGCATATCCAGGCACCAGACTGTTCCTCATTTGCATACGTGTGCAAAAATCTTGCACATGCAAATGATCCAATACCAGGGTGAGAGAGCAGGTAGTGGTGGGCGCGTACTGCTCGACACCCTGGGGACGAGGTTGGAGTGAGGCGGCTTTGTATCCGCACTTCACTGTCAGTGTCAGTGTACTTTGTTACAAAAACCTGCCGTATAAGTGAGTTGAGTTGGATCCATGATACCGATGCGCACATGACATTTTTCACAAACAAAACCAAACATTCTGTGTATCTGTTCTACCTAGTTTTGAACAAGGGGGTAACAGCAAAAAGAGGATTAGGCCTGCCAGTATTTTGGCGGTGGTTGGGCTCAATAAAGCGCCCAAGGCTTACGACGTACCTGGACAAAACAAATCGCCAGATTTATTACAATGTCCAGGGGATTTTTTTTTCAATTTTAAGTTTAGTTTACAAAAGCTGTTTTACGCAACAACACTTGCCGGTTATCCTGTTATTATGCCCCTGTGCACTTGGTACAGCGTGTGTCAATAAAAACGCAGGATTCAAAGCGATTTTTTTCTGATAAAATTATGCTACTGGTGTGCCTAATTTGATAAGGATTTGTTTGTGCATAATTTCATCTTTGACAAGATTTTTGTTTGGTGGAATTTGGACTTTTGGTTCAAAAGTTATGACAAGTTTTGTGAAGCCCTTCTGAAGCGGGTTGGTCTGATTCAATGACCTTAACACAACGACCAGTTATGTACAATGCAGGTATGCATTGAAGACAATTAAACCAGAACAAAACTTTCTTTGAAACAACTGATGATAAGTATCACTTAAATTTAATAACTGGACTATCAATGTTTCAAAGCATCATGAATTATTGACTAACAACATTGATTGTGGACTAAAGGATTATGTAAGCCTAATCCTGCCACACATGTCACTTTCACCTGTACTGAATTCAAACCTTTCATTAGGTATGTGTGATTTCACAAATCAGACCAGCTTGGAATTTATAACCCTTCTTCAATGTACTCTATTTCTGGACAGGATTGTCCAAATGAGATGGGATTAAAAGCATAGTGAAGAGAAGGAAAGGTACTTTGAAAAGAAGGTTAACATGATGATGAATAGGGGTGGTTTATATTCTTAATATTTTTGTTTTTAATCCTGCGTTTTTATTGGCACACGCCGTAGTACGGTGTTCCCTAAAGAGCCAATGTAGGTGCACAATTTACCGTCGTTTCCATCCGCCATCGTGCGATTTCCACGGCAATAAAAGGACTCCATAGCACTTCACAGGAAATCGGTGAGACACCCACAAACATCCATATATATATTGTTGCGTTCCCGCAAATTGCGTAGTTTACTTCTTTCCACACCAATCCATTCCACTCCGTGCACAGCGTAATGCTTGCAGCGATCCTGTGTGCCCTCACACAGCGCGAAGCTTACCACGAAGTCTTAGACACACGTATAAGTGTGCAGCACATTCTACCTCATAATCACCTCCACTTCGGACTTACATGAGATTACACTTTCCACCGGAGGATTAGTCACGGTTGAGAGATTTTGAATAGACTCTCTTCCCTATAAAGGGCCACCACGCCCTGCACGCCTCAATACATTTTTCTGTGCCGGAGCGAGTCACACAGTGTATTACAGTTATACAGTGTATTTTCAGTCTGTTAAGGCATCCCAATGGATAGCACACAAGAAACAGATTTCTTAGAATTAATGGCTGGACCGTCGGACACAGTCGACGACTTGAACACCCAGCAGGTTACGGGCGGGAACCAACATGTTTCTTCGGTCAAACCGAAAGAAAAGACCCGTAAAACTAAGACCGTTTCTCGACAAGAATTTGTCGACGTAACGGAAAAGCTAGCCGTAATGGCAGAAGCTATTGAAAATATTCAAACGGCCATCCTCAGTCCACCTGCCGCAAAGCGGCCGCGCCTAGCGTCGGAGTCTGACTCTGATAATACAAGTGCCTCAAAGGCCATAGATGAACTGCTCAAAGAATCAGTTCTCGATTCAGAAAATACAGGCCAGGACGACCAGCTGTTAAACAATTTCGAACAGCTATACACAGAGGATGCCCCGACTGCTGCTGCAGTCAATGAAAAATTGGCTAAGGTCATTGATAAAATGGTGCGTAACAAGCTACCAGAAGATAAGGCTGCTGAAAAGCTTAAGGCCCTCCAACGACCAACCAATGTAAAAAATCTGGAATGTACACGAGTCAATCCAGAGGTCTGGAGCTCTTTGAAGCCGAAAACTCGGTCACAAGACATAAAGCTGCAAAAAGTGCAGCAAGCACTCATGAAAGGAGTGGTGCCTATCGTGGGCGTAATAAATTCGCTCATGACGCGGCTAAATGGGTCAGCTGCAGGTACTGATAATCTAGATGTTAAGGGTGAAATCACCAAACTGCTTGACGCGATAGCAGTGATCGGGCATGCCAACCACGAGCTCAATATGAGAAGACGTGAGTTAATTAAGCCTGACTTAAACAAACAGTTTTCTGGCCTGTGTTCATCACATGTTCCAGTAACTGGGCTCCTGTTTGGGGACAATTTACCGCAACAATGTAAAGACATCCAACAAACGAACAAAATTGGACAGAAAGTTGGATTCTCTACTGGATCGCGGGGGACCGACAACAAGGGTTCCCTACACAGAGGGAACTTGGCTAGTGCCGGCAGAAGACGCGGTAGCTATTTAAACTATCAGCGTTACAGCAAGCACCAGGGATCTCGGTGGAATCACAAACCGCAGCCATCAGCAGGAGCCAAAAAGTAGATTTGCCAAGCAAAAAACTGGTGAGTCATTGCATTGAAAATACATGTACCAAAATTGCAGGTAGATTAGCCTACTATGTAGCCAAATGGCGAACTGTAACCTCGGACAAATGGGTCTTAGAGGCAGTACAGCATTACTTTATAGAATTTGCCAAACAACCTGTCCAGTTGTATCAGCCGAAACAAATGGCGTTTTCTCAAAATGAGACTGACATTATTTCGGCAGAAATAATTAAGCTTCTTCAAAAAGGAGCAATTAGGCAAGTTACCCACATGGCTGGGGAGTTTATTTCTACAATTTTTGTTCGTCCAAAGAAGGACGGATCCTTTCGGCCGATTATCAATCTTCGAGAATTGAACAAATCAGTGGCCTATTACCATTTCAAAATGGAGACCATTCAGTTTGCACTGCAACTTATACGGCCTCAGTGCTTTATGGCATCAATCGACCTGAAAGATGCATATTTTGCCGTGCCCATTGCAAAAGAACATCGCAAGTATTTGCGATTTCAATGGCAGAACAAATTGTTCGAATTCACCTGTTTGCCATTTGGCTTAGCATGTGCCCCTAGAGTTTTCACAAAGATCATGAAACCTCTGATTGCCTCCTTAAGACAGAGAGGCCATGAGTCATGTGATTACATTGACGATTCATTGTTGCTAGGTTCAACCATTCACGAGTGTAGAACTAATGTTAAAGCTCGTCTGACCCTTACTAAAGAGCTAGGGTTTATTATCAATGCTCAGAAATCGATTCTAGAACCCACACAGACCATTCAGTTTCTTGGGTTTATTCTGAATTCTGTCAACATGACCATTGCGATTCCTGTCCTTAAAGTACGGAAAATCGTTACAGCCATTGATAATTTGATCACGATGCCACGCCCAAAAATACGGGACGTTGCACATGTGATAGGGCTTTTGGTGTCTTGCGAGATAGCCGTGCCATACGGTGCTTTATTCAGAAGATCCATTGAAGTGGATAAGAATGAGGCTTTATCTCTTAATGCCAACAATTTTGATGCAAGAATGTCTTTATCTGACAGAGCCAAGACAGATTTAAGTTGGTGGCATGCTAATTTACAGTATGCAAATGCCCCCATTCACAGAAATAACCCAAATTTCTTTGTTGAATGTGATGCATCCAAAAGTGGTTGGGGTGCTCAATGCAATGGTCAGGTATTAGGCGGACAATGGTCTGCCACAGAGATTGATTTCCATATCAATTATCTTGAGCTCAAGGCATGCTTTTTTGCTTTGCAGTCCCTTTTCAATAAACACAGGGACATCCATGTTCACCTAAAAACGGACAACACAACAGTTGTTTCGTATATTCAGTATTTTGGTGGCACACATTCCCCTCAGTTAAATGAACTTGCGAGGGAAATTTGGTTATGGTGCATGGCCAGAAAGATATGGCTATCTGTATCGTATTTGCCTGGGGTTGATAATGTGATGGCAGACTTTGCCTCACGCAATTTCCACGAAGATATAGAATGGAAATTACACCCAGACGTTTTCCGCAAAATTATTGCGAAATTCATGGTGCCTGACATTGACATGTTCGCGTCAAGATTGAATTATCAAATTCAGCCATATGTATCATGGCAACCTGATCCGGGTGCATTCAGTTATGATGCATTTACACTGGACTGGTCTGACTACAAAGTGTATGCATTTCCCCCATTCTGTCTAATTGGGAAAGTCTTGGCGAAAATTGAATTCGATGAATCAATCGCCATACTCATTGCCCCACGATGGCAAACACAAGTGTGGTTTCCAAAAATGTTGAAACTACTCACAAACAAGCCAGTTATTTTGCCTAAAAGGGCTGATATACTTTCGCTTCCTTCCTCAGGCAGACTCCATCCGTGGCAAGAGCGGCTACAACTGATGGCATGCCATTTGTCCGGGAAAACCTGCAACGTCAGGGAATTTCACAAGACGCTGCCGACATTATCATCGCCTCTTGGCGACCTGCAACCAAGAAATCTTACAGATCAGCGATCCAAAAGTGGATTTTATTCTGTGCTCGGGGACAAATTAATCCCGTTCGAGCACCTGTAACAGTTGTTCTTGATTGCCTAACTGAAGAATTTCATAAGGGTAACAGTTATAGCTCAGTGAATACCCTACGTAGTGCCATATCGGCAATCGTAGCTCCGATAGATGTGAGTCCTATTGGGTCACATCCATTGGTAAAAAGATTCATGACAGGTGTGTTTAATTTGAGACCTGCTATGCCAAGATATAATTTTACTTGGGACGTAAATATTGTTTTCAAGTACCTAAAAGAATTAGGTCCTGGAGAAAAGTTGCCTTTAAAAGGGCTTACAATGAAACTTGTTATGTTGATTGCATTGATTTCAGGACAAAGGTGTCAAACATTATCTTTGCTTGATTTAGATCAGGTCAATGTCACTCGAAGCAATGTGACTTTTGTTGTTACTAAGTTAACAAAGACCAGTAGAGTTGGCAGTAAGCCAATAAGTGTGGTGCTGTCAGAGTACCCGCACGATGAACACCTATGTGTTATAAAAACACTTAGAGAGTATCTGATTAAAACTAGAACTTTCCGAGGACGCGAAAGGAGTTTGTTTTTGAGTTATACTTCCCCTCACAAGCGTGTAGGGTCCGAGACAATTTCTCGTTGGATCAAGATGACACTGCAAGATGCAGGTATTGACATAGGTAGATTCAAGGCTCATAGTACTAGATCGGCTGCATGTAGTGCAGCTTTGCAAAGGGGAGTTCCCCTGGATGTCATAATGACTACTGCCCAATGGGCAAGGAGTAGTACTTTTGCTAAGTTTTATAATAAAACTATTGTACCAGCAAGTCAGAAGTTTGCTGACGCTGTTTTGAGTTGTGAAGCAAAATAGGCTTCGAATGTTTGTTTTCTGAATAAATATACAGAAACATCAGAAATGAATTGTTTATTGTACGACTCTTTTTTTTTTTGTCGTTTGTTTGCCCGTTGCATGCATGGGCTCTAAATTTCTCATGTAAGTCCGAAGTGGAGGTGATTATGAGGTAGAATTTAAAAATTAAACGAATGAAATGAAGTTTAATTAGAATTCTACCGATTAAATCACCGACACTGAAGGACTTACACCCTCCACAATTGGTATATGTACTGCTATCATGCATTCCCCACCCCTTTTATATGCACCGGGCATTTTCATAAAAATGTATTGAGGCGTGCAGGGCGTGGTGGCCCTTTATAGGGAAGAGAGTCTATTCAAAATCTCTCAACCGTGACTAATCCTCCGGTGGAAAGTGTAATCTCATGTAAGTCCTTCAGTGTCGGTGATTTAATCGGTAGAATTCTAATTAAACTTCATTTCATTCGTTTAATTTTTAAATTATACAGTACGCTATTGTATAGCGCGCAATGCATGTAGCTCTCACAGCTATTGAACATGTACCGCCATGGGACATGTACTTAGGACTTAGCCATTTTCCCTCCACCTTTCCCCGGAGTCGATGCGAATTCCCCTCACACACCTTACCTCGCATCTGACCCACATTGACCCGAAGCATTTAGCGAATGTGGCTCGCTAAAACCTACCCGTGTATTCACCCCTTAGTGACCCCGTACACCACAGCGAGTGTGTCCCGCTAACTCACTGGCCGAGACCTACGGTAGCTAGAGGTCAGGTTACGTCCTTCATCTCATAGTTTTACTCCATAGCATTAGTGTGTAGATTCTTACCTAGTCTAGAGACTTGTACACAAACCTATGTACCGAGAAGTTATTCCCTTTCCCTTTTCCTTGAGGATCAGTTCCCCGTAACGCACCCACGAGTGATCCTACTTCGCCCGCTAACCACTGCTCTCGGACTTTCTTCCACTAGAATGTCTAAGTCAGTCGTGTACGAATCTCCCATAGAGAACTTTCCCCATGCCTTTGTACACGGATGCATTATTCATAACTACTAGAATCCAATGCTCCCATTGGCTAAGACGCGCCCCCAAAAGTCTATATAAAGCGCGCAGAAATAGCAGTTCTGGTCATTGTTGTACTGGGCTCTTCCCCAGTAGATTCCTGACCTGGGTCCTTATTCACAAAGCACCCGTAAATGCTTGCGGGCGCGCAACTTCCCCGCAACCCTCACTTAAGCACTTGCGGGTTATTCACGAAGCCCCCTTAAATCTGCGTGTGCCCGTAAACCACCCGTAAATTTGCGGGACCTCCAGACGTCCCGCAAGCACACCACAACTTGCGTGGATCATCTCGATTGTCACAATGGCGGCACTCTTGGCATGTATTTTGGATCTACGAACTGATTTGACGTGCCGGTTCATCTTCCGTGACCGGTTGAACCAACTATAGGATGAGTTAAAAAGAAAGTGACCGAATTTGAAGAATGTGTTCAAAATATTTAGCGCGTTCCATTTTCATGGGCGTCAATCGGTGGGGGACAAGTCCTCCCCCCACTTTTTTTTTTTAAGTAGCGGATATCATATCGTTGCCCCCCCCCCCGCCCCCCCCCCCCCCCCCCCCCCCCACACACACACTTTTTCTATCCACGAATAAAAATTGTAGCCTACATAATGATTCTATAGTAGCTGATTCAATGACTCCAAACTCAAAAAAATGATGTTTAAAAGATGATCTTTTGCTCACAAAAGTGGTTTGAGTGCTCAGAAATTGCCTCGGATCGCACCACAGATTAAGCATGTAGAATCCAAAAAATTTCGGGGCCCACTCCATGCCGTAATAGGTATGTCCTCCACTTTTGGGAAGCGACTGCCGCCCTTTGTTTTTTTATGGGACGAAGTACATCTTATGGGATTTTAAGTGTGAACATTTCACCTAAATTGCACAGTCTAATCCGAAGTTATGTCTATTTCAATAAAACGATCACAAACTTGTTTACCACTCATCACGTGATGCAAACTGAACACCCATTGAGTACAATGAAACGTGGACTTTCCCACCTCCACTGAATGAACAAGAGCATGGGAAAGGATACAAAAATCACCATCAATATTTAAAAAAAATTAGAGCTAACTTGTTTCTTATATATTGAAAGCACACATTTTGACAGTGGTTTCTGTCTTGAGTTCAATTATTAAAGGGAACCTGCAAAAGGATTTGTATGACTTAAATAGATTTAAAACAGCTTTCTTGACATGTTACTATGACTTTCAATCTTCTTTTGTAGTAGTAAAAGGGAGAAATTTCAACATTTCAATTTTTATGCTATTGAAACTTTCCATATTCATGAGCCAAAGCGTGATGTCATTCAAAGCAGAACAGAAGTGTCTCTACAGCTTTGAGTACAAATATATGTCACAGGTTTATCTCAAGCATAGTCTGAGGACCTATGTCGGTTCGTTGTTAAATGACGGAACTTTGCTCAGAATGAAAATCACACAGATAGCAGAAATTAAAGTTGGTCCTTTCCTCTATGAACTCACTCTGTTATTATTTCATCAACACATCATAAATCATCAATGTCAACAGTGATTGGTCAAGAATCAATTATAAAAGAATCATCAAAATCCAAAATATCATGCGTGTGACTTTTCAGTGGTGTAACGTTTCAAACAACAATGCAATCCAAACAATGGGAAAATCTGAACAATTGCAACAAAAAGTTAATTGAAAAAAACCAAAAAATATCAAAGGATGTGAAAACAATAGGCAAAATCTCAGATCATCTGAATCCAAGGAAAGAATTTGCAAGTGTTCAAAGTCAACAAACTTCAAATTTTGTGAAAGTCAAAAGTCAACAAGTATGCAAAGGTTCAGCATGAATAAATACAACAAGCTCAATGAAGTCAAACCACTGAAACATCAACACAAGGAATTATAGCAAACATCAATGAATACATCGATAAAATACAACAAGGAGATTTTATACAATAGTATAAAATTATAAGATCTTAGCTGGGTCCAAAGCGTCGCGTTGGAACTCGTCTTGATTTGCCGATGCGGTGTCGTACTCGGATGGGGTCCAGGTAGAGCAGCAGCGTCCAGGCGAAGTCCAGCGAACGGTGGTCCAGACGGAGAGGGGTGGTGGTGAGAAGCAGGAACAGGCCGGGCGAAGAATCGAACCGGGTCGACTCCTCAAAGCGTGACCTGGGGACTCCGTGTTCTGTATCACAAAGCACGTTTGCAAATGATGCGAGGGAAAGTGTTAGGAACGTTTCTCACGAGAAAATGACTTAGTAAAGTCCGCAATCGTTCCTAGGCTAACTTATCAAAAGTGCTAAGGGTAGCACTCTAAGATATTCTCGCATCGAGGTCTTCTTCGCTTCTTATTTAGAACCAACTTTGTATTAAATTACTAACTACAAAAAACATTAAAAACTGAGATTACAAATAGTATAAAGTAAGCCAAAATAGTTTAACAACTAATAAAAACTAAAGTTTATGGTGTTCACCCAGAACATTATTCTAAGTCAGAAACAAGTTCGGAACAAGGAAGTGGTTTGTACATGTGCACGCTTGACACATGAGATTGGTCGTGTGGGGGCAAAGGGCATGATTGCTCACATATTCTCAACCGCAACCGGTCGTAAGACACACTAACTAATTAACTGAATGGGATGCGTAACAAAAACCTTAAACCAGTGGTCATCTCGAAGTAACGACAAACATAGTGTAAAGGGACTCAAAAACAAACCCTAGAACGAATGGAACTTACACGCACGTATTTTGTACATGTGTGTACACTGCAGAGAAAATAAAAGTTTCACAACTGCTCATGATCACTTGGACATGCACTCATGCAATGTTTTAGCCAAAAAGACAGTGTGCGTGTGGGCACTGACCCTACTCAAGGTCACCTAGGGGTACAATTACACAAGACACTCAATCCCGTGTCCGTGGTAACAGACTAGCAAGAAAATAGCACAGATGGTAAAGATCAGAACAGAATCAATGTGGCACAATGAATGAGGGATGGCAATAAACGGCCTCATCAACAGTTCACTTTAAAATCATGAACTGAAAACACTTCAACATAAGATTACAAGGAAATATAGAATACACGAATAACACTTGAAGCTAAAATGCAGAATTATCAGGTACAAGTTATATACAACTATCTAACTGACCGAGGCAGTTATTCTGAAATCAGGCAAGGATTCGGGTTACATGAAAATTGGTCAAAACCTTACGATCAATTCAGTGATAAAAACCTACATCGTATAACGGTAACGATAAGAATTGGAAAGTGAATAAAAGGATTATAGAGCAAATATCTACACTACAATAGAGATACAGCATACATAGTGAATCAAAATCTGGCAATCATATTATTAATGGCTGAAACTCATGCCGGATGTGAAGCTGTCTCGAAATTATCCATAGGCGGGACAATTCTTATGCTATCACAATCATCAAAATTATATACAAGTGGATTATACATAAATAAGAAAAACATCGGCTTACCTGTATCACAAAGCACGTTTGCAAATGATGCGAGGGAAAGTGTTAGGAACGTTTCTCACGAGAAAATGACTTATTAAAGTCCGCAATCGTTCCTAGGCTAACTTATCAAAAGTGCTAAGGGTAGCACTCTAAGATATTCTCGCATCGAGGTCTTCTTCGCTTCTGAAGAATTGAGGTGGAGCAGGGGTTTAAAAACCCCTACTGATCACGCGCTCGGACAGGTTTGGGAAAACTTTCCAATTGGTCAAAAAGCTAAAATAATGATATCATCTTCGGAAAAGCCAATCAGAAAAGGAGTAGTGGGCTAACATTCTTGAGGGAACGTGGCCAGCTTGAGATTGACCAATCTGGTCCTCCTTTTATGACTCAATGGTCAGCGTGATCGAACTTCCTTGAATTGAAACAATGGAAGCTGTGAACTTTGGAAGGAAAAACTTAGATCCGTGGAGTGACGCAATGTCTAAGATGTCCTTCTGAACAGGACGTGGTCAGCGCGGAGGAGGCCCGCTTACTAAGAATTCCAACCACACACCGTGGGAAAGGGACAAACAACTTGTCGGACCAAATTTTAAAATGGTTCCTAATTTAACAGGGTCCGACATATATATCACACTTGTTTCTATTTTCTTGCAGTAAGTTCCACTTTTTACTTGTTTATCATGTTAAACAGCTTGTTTGGACACTAGCAGTCGCCACTAGTTTTTTTCGAAGCTTTTTTTGTGGGTAACTTTGAAGGAGTTATGTTTGTACTGTTCATATGCACTTTTGACAAGGAGTTCCTTGTGCGTCAAAAGCAAAATAGCGCCCATTACATGCGATTGTTTTGATGAAAGGATTTGCTAACAATTGAAAAACTACCACTCTCTTGTCACTTCCAACGAAAACAAGTAAGACGATCCTGTATGTATTGTTGCGACACATAATAATGTGTAAGAGAACAAGATGGACTGAATTTCCACTGCATGTTTCCTTTAAAGTCTTGTTGGCATTTTAAAGTTTGTCTGTAATATGATTCTCACTATTAACTCAATAGCTTCCAATGACATTCAAGGACAGCTATAAAAATGGGCTACGTTTGTAACACATGCATAACTTCTGAAAGCATTGGTAAATTTTAGTGATTCATTTTTTTCTTTAAATGAGTGGAAGAACATGCTCTTAAAGACATGCTTGATTGGTGTTGATTGTTTGCTAAGAAAACAAAGGCAAGTTAATCTTTAATCGAATCTGCCTGTAATTTTTACAACGAGCAAGTTCTCTAAAATGGGATAAAATGTCTTGGTATTAAGTTCAACCAATTAGTTGCGGGTGCCCGCAACATGCGGGTCCACTAAGGGAACTCTAAGGGTGCTTTGTGAATACCACTTAACGCAAGTCTTACGTGCCCTTAACATCCACTTACGGGTCCCCGCAACGCAAACATTTACGGATGCTTTGTGAATAAGGACCCTGAGCTCTGACCTACACAGAGCTCCCGCATATGACGCATTAGATTGTTGCTCTGGGCTCTTGGTGCTTATTCACAAAGCACCCGTAAATGTTTGCGTTGCGGGGACCCGTAAGTGGATGTTAAGGGCACGTAAGACTTGCGTTAAGTGGTATTCACGAAGCACCCTTAGAGTTCCCTTAGTGGACCCGCATGTTGCGGGCACCCGCAACTAATTGGTTGAACATTAAAAAAACACATGCCAAGACATTTTATCCCATTTCAGAGTTCTTGCTCGTAGAGTCGATTAAAGATTAACTTGTCTTTGTTTTCTAAGCAAACAATCAACACCAATCAAGCATGTCTTTAAGAGCATGTTCTTCCACTCATTTAAAGAAAAAAAATGAATCACAAAAATGTACCAATGCTTTCAGAAGTTATGCATGTGTTACAAACGTAGCCCATTTTTATAGCTGTCCTTGAATGTCATTGGAAGCTATTGAGTTTAGTGAGAATCATATTACAGACAAACTTTAAAATGCCAACAAGACTTTAAAGGAAACATGCAGTGGAAATTCAGCTCATCTTGTTCTCTTGCACATTATGTGTTGCAACAATACATACAAGATCGTAAAACTTGTTTTCGTTGGAAGTGACAAGAAAGTGGTAGTTTTTCAATTGTTAGCAAATCCTTTCATCAATACAATCGCATGTAAGGCCCCCCAAAAAAGTCTCCGGTTTCTGGTATGGAGCTTGCGGTGACGCGGGTTTTTTTTTTTTTTACCCGACTTTTTTGCTTCAAATGTCGGCTGATGACTTCAAATGGTGCTCGACTAAACTGAGTACAAATAGGCCTATATGGGATTGGGAGTTCAGAGAGGCCACATAAAGCTTATTCTTTAAGTTAAAAATGTGCAGCAGCAGGATTCCAGTCAAACCAGTGAGTTTGGCGGTTTTGAGACATCATCTTTCATTGAAAAAAAAAACCTTTTTCATTTTGCCGACGCGCATATGGCTACAGCGACGCACGCGCATACCATAAACCGGAGACTTTTTTTGTGGCCTAACCAACTGCAAATGAGATCAAAGAAAGTCGTCGCCTGAAATTCCCCTCGCAGTTTAGGTTTAACAATAATGCGAATGACTTATGTCCTTTTGGTTTGACAGCACTTGATTCACGATCCCGGTGGTGCAGCTAAAAATAAATATTGTATAGGCTATTAAAGATTCAGAAACTGCTGAAATTTCCCTCGCAGTTTAGGTTTAACAATAATGCGAATGACTTATGTCCTTTTGGTTTGACAGCGCTTGATTCACGATCCCGGTGGTGCAGCTAAAAATAAATGTTGTATAGGCTATTAAAGATTCAGACAAACAATTTGTGAAATGGTTTACAGTTATGGTTACGAGAAAAAAAGGATGGCGTGCAGGGTTGAACTTGTGTAGGCTTAGGCCTATTCACACTACCTTAGTAACACGCAGGCGTTTATGGTAAACATACATGTTTATATATAAACACAGTGCATGTTACCAAGGTGGCCTGAATAGTAGGATGTATTTTTTAGAGATGTGTGATGGAAACACAAGACCGATTTTTTTTATGATAGGAACACACATTGCAAATGTACTTTTTGAATTATGAAAATTTGTGTAAAAAAGGAGAAAGATTGCAAATTGCAAAGACTAAACAATTAATGAATTGGAGAAGTGCTGGCTATGCGCTGAAACATGTATTTTGATGGTCCTTCTGAGGGAAAATTATTTAATATACCAAGTGTTGCAGTTTGCTCTGAGTGCTGCACTTTTCTCTATATCGATTGTGATTAAATGTATTCACACGTGTTCGTTTTAAGTTTTTTTCTGTTGTTTTAAAATATAAAATAATAATTATGTTACAGTTGTGTCAGTCAAACTTGATATTATTGCCGAAATCAATGTAAATAAAATTGTCTCTTTAATTAGGCCTATATCTTGGGACAAGGCTTTCCATTGAATTTGTGTTTTCGTGATTTTCATTGTAATTGCAGGGAGTCAAAAAGGGAAGTCAGTTGCATTTTCTCCTTTTTTTGGGGGGGGGGGATGAAGTTTATAGTTAACATGTAAATTCAGTATGTGTTTGGTCATCCGTGGGCCATGGGGTACATCCGTGTCGAAGATTGGGGGTGGATATGACCCCAAATCCTCCACTTGTGGAAATTCGGGGGCGAAAGGGGGGAGGCTGGACACACCAGAGGACGTTAGGGGGCTCTGTTCATGGAATATATAGATTTTCCCAGCCAATTTCCTGAAATGTTCATTCACTTCCGAAAATCGGTCATTCATTTTCATCTGAATTTGAGAATCGCTCTGAACACGCGTTTCATGCATTTTCGCTATCAGAGCATTCGATTTCATTTCCATTCAATCAATTAAGCACATTTCGTTTATGCTCATTCAGATTCGTTTACAAGACTTCCTTTTCGCTTTTAGAGGGCGATTTCAAAAATAAGTCATTTTATTTCACTTTTAGTTTCATGTTATGTGATGCAATCTGCTAAGTTTGAATGAGAAAAACGCACTTTATATTGCACATTCACGAAATTGTATTCCAGAACTCTGCGCGAAAAGGTATGCTCGCGTAAATGAATGCACAGGTAACGTAATTGGCCGTCTGTTTCTCAAAACCGAATGCACGGACAATGAAAACGATTGAACTTTCGTTGAATTGAAATGGGATTAAAGACGTGCATTCAAATTCAGACGAAAATGAATGACCGATTTTCAGAAGTGAATGAACATTTTAGGAAATTGGCCGGGAAAACCTATTATGGACGCTATTTTGCTTATGTCGCACAAGGAACTCCTTGTCAAAAGTGCATATGAACAGTACAAACATAACTCCTTCAAAGTTACCCCCCAAAAAAGCTTTGAAAAAACTAGTGGCGACAGCTAGTGTCCAAACAAGCTGTTTAACATGATAAGCAAGTAAAAAGTGGAACTTACTGCAAGAAAATAAAAAAAAGTTTGATATATATTTGTACACAAAGCTGTAGAGACACTTTTGTTCTGCTTTGAATGACATCACGCTTTGGCTCATGAATATGGAACTGTTCAATAGCATAAAAATTGAAATGTTGAAATTTCTCCCTTTTACTACTACAAAAGAAGGTTGAAAGTCATAGTAACATGGCAAGAAAGCTGGTTTTTTTTATCTATTTAAGTAATACAAATTTTTTTGCAGGTTCCCTTTAATAATTGAACTCAAGACAGAAACCACTGTCAGAATGTGTGCTTTCAGTATATAAGAAACAAGTTAGCTCTTTTTTTTTTTTAAATATTGATGGTGATTTTTGTATCCTTTCCCATGCTCTCGTTCATTCAGTGGAGGTGGGAAAGTCCACGTTTCATTGTACTCAATGGGTTTTCAGTTTGCATCACGTGATGAGTGGTAAACAAGTTTGTGATCGTTTTATTGAAATAGACATAACTTAGGATTAGACTGTGCAATTTAAGTGAAATATTCACACTTAAAATCCCATAAGATGTACTTCGTCCCATAAAAAAGGGCGGCAGTTGCTTCCCAAAAGTGGAGGACATACCTATTACGGCATGGAGCGGGCCCCGAATTTTTGTTTGGATTCTAGATGGTTGCTCTGTGGTGCGATCTGAGTCAATTTCTGAGCACTCAAACCACTTTTGTGAGCAAAAGATAATGTTTTAAACATCATTTTTTGAGTTTGGAGTCATTGATCAGCTACTATAGAATCATTATGTAGCTACAATTTTTATTCGGGGATAGAAAAGTGTGTGTGTGTGGGGGGGGGGGGGCAACGATATGACATCCGCCACTTAAAAAAAAGTGGGGGGGGGGAGGACTTGTCTCCCACCGATTGACGCCCATGAAAATGGAACGCGCCAAATATTTTGAACACATTTTTCAAATTCGTTCACTTTCTTTTTAACTCATCCTATAGTTGGTTCAACCGGTCACGGAAGATGAACCGGCACGTCGATTCAGTTCGTAGATCCAAAATACATGCCAAGAGTGCCGCCATTGTGACAATCGAGATGATCCACGCAAGTTGTGGTGTGCTTGCGGGACGTCTGGATGTCCCGCAAATGTACGGGTGGTTTACGGGCACACGCAGATTTAAGGGGGCTTCGTGAATAACGCGCAAGTGCTTAAGTGAGGGTTGC